AGCAGAGTAACCTGGGGACCTTCCCCCTTTCTGTCTACCCTGAAACAGCTGTTTGAGCTCTAATTAAAGGGAAGTAGCAGGTGTCACCTGAGCCCCAACTGCAGGAGCACACCTGGTTGCATTAATTTGATCCAAAGTGGTTTTGACGGACTGTCTGCACTCTAGCGTCCCACAGAAAGCCAGTGGAACTGAGCACCTATTTGGAACATGTGGGCAAGAGCGCTTCGCTAACACTGCTTTGTGGAGGTATGCCAAGCTGGCAAGCCCATGTCTTCGCAGTGACCCAGGGGACGGCTCTGTCATCCCTCCCTCTGACTTACCAGGAACATCTGTAAGTGAGCAGCCCTGCAACGCTGACCTGTAGTCACACTGAGCTGACGGCCGGGTGTGCCAGAGATAATTGTCTGTGGAAACCTCCCCGAGGCTGTAAAGGCAGCTTGTTTCAGATCTCCTGATGATTTCACAGGACATTTAACTTTACACCTCTCATTTGTTACCTCTCCAGGGCATTTCCAAATATCCATTACCAGGTTTCCAAGGAATGTAGCAACCCTTAACCTCTGCTAGCTTTTATGTATGCATAAATTGCCTTGGGGATAAATGTGACACTGAATTTGGTAGTTGTGACATGATGTGTTTTCCTGTGCAAGGTTAAGCAAACAGGTGACCTCTAAAACTGAGCAGTGACAAAAAAAATACTCATTGTGAAATTACAGATGCAATATTGTGTGATTTCTCTGACACTTGAATTGCCTGATGAAATTTACATGACCTCAGAATGAAGCTGCAGCGCTTCAAATGGGTACTGCCTCAGGTCATGCTGCACTCTCTGTGGCAACAATTTCTTTGTGCCATGACAATACATTAATTTCATGAGTCAACAGGCTACGACTGGCAGTTTGTGTCAAGCTAAACAGTGTTTAATTGGATTCTGATCCATGGCAACACCACCGGAGGCTTGTTTCAATCTTCCTTTTTTTTTTCAGCAGCACCTGGAGCGTAATGGTGGTGATTACATCCCTCCTGTGGTGCCTCGGTGGTTCTACCCTCACGGCCTCTGGGAATATGCTACTGACAGTCACGGTCCATGCTGCCCTGCTGCCCTGTTTGACTGCTGGCAAACCCTGAGCTGCTGCTGCTGAGATTTTTTGTTGTACCACTGCTGAGACAAGCCCAGGTTCAAAGGGAATTATGATAATACAAACCAAATTAATTGTTTACTGCACAAACCCGGGCACAGCTGAGATTCCAAACAATGTATCAGGAAAGCCTCCTACTTGCAGAGGCATAAAATTAAAACTGTTTACTTGGAAAGAAATTGAATTAAATAAAGCTACTTGGAGAGCACTTTTATGAAATGAAATCATTCAACTTGACCAAAAGAGGAAACGGATATAGAGTACGTGTATTATTATTACGTTATTATATTAGATAATATAATATAAATCTGGTGGTAATGTAATTCAGAAAAATTTAGGTGCTGAAATATGTTATAAGGGGCTAAGAACACTATAAATAATTTAACTTTTTAGGAAAAGTGGATTAACTTAAAAAAAAAAAAAAAATCTGAAGTGTCAGAAACAGTTGTTTACAAATCAGTCTTACCAAAAGGATCTGGAGCTTTAGATCACATTGTCGTTTTCCTTGGTAAATCCTGTATCTTCATCTGCAAATGAAGATCATATAAGATGACTTGAACCTCAACAGAGCTACTGCAGTCTTTCTAAAATTATTTGACTTATCAGTTGTTTCTTGAAAAGAAGACTACAAATCCAAGGAAACTGCAAGCCGAGAACTGCCCACAGAGTTGTTGTTGAATTGGTTCAGACTCTGTTGTGCTCTGAGGAGTTGTTTTTGTTTTGCATCTGTGTGATTGGTTGATGTCGCTCTGGGCATTATGAAAGGTTGTGCATAAGTTAAACGCATCCTCTAGGAAGCTCAAATGAATAAATGGATGTGTCCTGTTGTGGTTCAGGTTGCTACTCTTACCGATACAATGATTATGTCATTTTAATGCTTCCAGATTCAGCAACCAAAAAATGTGTTAAAAAAATAAAACTAAATAGTTAATAGCACATTTTCTATGGTTTACGCTTTACTAACGGTGGTATAGTCCCCTGCTTAAAAGAACCACTGCCATTGGGGGATGTTGTTGCCATGGAGAGCATGCTTGGTCTTCAAAGACGTTAAGTTAGGTGGCGCTACCAGATGTCTCCTTTATATGGAACTGCACAAATATATGGAGACACTGTATATCATTTTGGGCAGCTTTGAAGGGAATTCGCTTTTCTAAAATCTGGATTTTACCCAAACCACATGAAGAAAACAGGGAAGGCATTTCTGTAGTCACTGTAGTCAGATTCAGGTTACCGTGTGTTTTGATGCCAATGCTGGAACAGAGAAAGCCACTGATCAATCTGGAAGCATCAAAATGACATAATCATTGTATTGGTAAGACTAGCAACTTGAATCACAACAGGACACATCCATTTATTCATTTGAGCTTCCTAGAGGATGCATTTAACTTATGCACAACCTTTCATAATGGGAAATATAGTTTTTGTTATAGTTTTTTGTTTTCTGTTTTGCATAAGGGGAGATATATTGCAATGAGCAGTGTGTGTGTGATAATTGGTTAAAAAATGCTGAAACAGGCGTGCAAATCTTTTGGCTACAGGATTATTAAGACTATCACACGATGCCATGACAACACACTTGAGTTGCCTTTTGTGCTTTTTGGAGTGAAGGTGTTGTACAAGTTGTTTCAAATAAAATATATGTTTCCTTAACGTGCTAAATGACAATGTAACCTGCATAGTTATTATTTATTTTGTTTTAATTTTTTAAAGTTAAATTGCTAAGCTGTTCCACATTGTCCACAGAAACAGTCTTTGCCCTAAATTTAATTGTTAGGATGAGCAACATGCTGTTGGTTTTCCTGACATGTATGTGTTAGATTACATATCGGTGGACTCACTAGCTGAAATCAAGAAATCTTTTCAAATCAGGTGTAAAAAAATATTTTGAAATTAAATTCCAAGATATTTTCTGAATGGCACGCTCTAACTAGGCCCTGGGAGGAACAGAGTCATGGGCCTTTCCTTCTACATAAAAAAGAGAAAGGTTGCTGACCCCTGTCGATGAAGTGTTGGAAGGACGGCCTGCACATGAAGTCAGTGCTGTGAGCACAGGGAGGAACAACAGTGCTGGGCCTCTGACCTTCAGCCCTGTGCTGTCTTACAACCAGAGTCAGACACATCTGAATAATACATCGACCTCTCCTGCTGGGACCACCCTCACTGCTCACACAAGCAGAGGTTCAGAAACACATCATTCACATCCACAGTGTAAGGTTTGTGTCCCTCGACATCCTACACAATAGTGAGCAGAGCTGAGGTTTGGTCCAATATTTATTGCCTATAGGAACTTATCTGATTGAGTGGCTTTTTTTTTTAATCTTCAGTGCTTGTTGGCATATTACTTTATTTTTTAAACCTTTAACATTATTACAGTAGGTCATTGTTTTAGGCAATTGTGCACAAGTATCTTGTCAAGCACTCAAATACTGATTTTCTTTATTCTTTTAAATTTGTAATTACCTGTTTTTGCAGTTAGTCCTTTTAATTTTAATTTTAATTTTTTAGGAAAAGCTTAAAAAGCTTAAAAGAACACAAAGCCTTTTTTGGCTGTCACAGTAATTTCTCACCTCCATGCAGGAGGTGAACAAAAGATCGAGCCACGAGGATTCTGCTGTTTACACTGTGAGAATGAATAGAAACGTCTGAAACATTTTAAAATCCCCCGTGATTCCTGGAAAGCCACGCTGTCTCTCTCTTGTTTCCATCTGCTTTACATACAAGAGCGGCTGTGCAGTTTGCACTGAGAGAATATTTGAATTTCATAGAGTGTTTGACATTTGATAATAGTGCACTGTGTTTATAGATTCTACACTTCCCTGCCGAAGGTTTCCTATCATGCTTGTTCAGGCTACATACCCCCTAAAAAAGCAATATAACTGCCCTGCCCCTCCAAATATCTCTGTGTGACATCAAAAAGACAAATCCAATTATGGTTTCACTTGAGCTGATAAATATCAATCATCCTTCTTGGAATATCTGTGTTTACATAAATCGTTTCGAGCAGTGGGAGCAATTAAAAGGGAGGAAAAACAAATAGTTGTGTGCTGTCATTTAATGTGACAAAAGAGCTGGGGTCTCACTGCAAGACAGTCTATTGACTGGACTCTGTCATTTCACCTGTTAAGCCAAATTTATAATTGTATGTAAATGAGGTGGTGCTGTCACCAAAGCGCTGTTTCATTTTAACTGAGCTTCAGAGCATCTGGTTAATCATCTAAAAAGACAGAAATGAGACAGACACAGGTTTTAAATAGCCAATAGTCTGAGAGGTTGTGAGCAAAAATGTGTGTGTAGGAGTAGGATATGCGTGGGAGTGTGTATGCTTGGCAGGAAACTGGCAGCACATGACAAACAAACAGGGGTGTGCAGTGCGCCAGCTTGACTTGGAGAAGGGGAGGGTGGGGGGGTCGCAAAGTCCAAGGACTTAGCAAAGTACCATTTAATTCAATGCCATCCTGCCTTTGCAGTGGGACTGTAACCTCACGGGTTAGAGGAAGTGCAGATGCTGCCACCATCTACTGGACCACAAAGGGAATCCCAGTTTCTGCCTTTTGAGAAGGAAAAGAAAAGGCTTAAGTTCTTGAAAATAAATAAACCATAAAAGCAATATTTTGTCATTAATAATTTGATGGGATCAGTTTTTATATACAGCTTTTAATATCTACACTGCAGCGTGGAACCAATATGTTTAGCTATTCGAGTTTCCTCCCGGTGTGTTTTTGTTGTGCCACAGGCGTCAGAGCAGCGCGCGCGTGTGTGTGGAGTTGTTCCGTAATTTCACAGATATTATCGGATTATTGGTGTAAATGGCTTAGTAAAAGGTAAATGTGGCATTTTAGGGATTTAATTTGAACTTAAATTAAGTCTCCGTGTTTACGAGTCATCGTGAAACATTGCCGCCAAAACGTTTTTCACAAGTGTGTAAAATTCACAGACTGCAAGTAACAGAAAAGAGACGAAGAATGACAGAAGGAAGAAAGGGATAAATATGGAAAACTAAATATTTTCATGAGGTCTGGTCCTCTATTTCTGTGTCCATAAACCTGTTTCAGGTATTAAGTGCGTTGCGTCATAGCTTTAAATGGGAAATTCCCGGCAAGCTTTAGTAGCAAAAAATAGGAACATTTATATTTATAGGAATATATATATATATATCTGTGTGTATGTGTAAGTAGCCACGTTTTAAAGCTACAGCCTTGCGTTCATGTTACATCTTTGTTTCTTGTGAGATTTTGGGATAAAATTGAGCATAGAGTGAATTGCACTGCGTGAGTCTAATCTCCGAGGCTTTATAATATAATATAATTGGCTTTCTCCCGCTGCTGCATAAAGAAAAAAAAAGAATGAGATAAAGTTCACTCTTTGCTCATACTTTGATGACTTCCATAATGAAATCTCACTGAAGGGACTGTAATTCCCCAAATATCCTAAGTCGCTGGGGTTTCCATTGGATTTTTGGGTTTGCTGCACAGCCCATGTGACTGTGTAAAAATCAGCTGGAGTGCACTCCAGGGTCGTGGATGGCTTAGGCATGTGGCATATCAAATGCTTTCTTTGTTTAGTCCAGTCTGCCTCTGAGTTCACAGGGCTGCGTTTCTGTACTAAAATGAATCAGGCCCTCGGAGTTGGCTGCCTCCTGCTTTGGCATCATCTCCAGCAACACAGACCATCCAAACGCTGATGGAGTCACATGGAGGCGGAGTTGGCGGCTCCAGCAACAATGCGGCAAAAGTGTTGTTTTCATGCATGTGTCTCGCCCCCCCGGTTCTGGCTCAGGATGCCCTCACCTGTGTTCTGTTGTTGCCAGCTTAGTAATTAGTTGTATACATCTGTTTCACAGCACCAAAGAGGCTGAACAAGCGTACTGTGTATTTGTGCGACAATGGCAGGCTGTTTTAACAGTTGGTGGGCTCAATAACCAGCTAAATACATAAGGAGTCATTAAATTACATCTCTCCCCTTTAAAAAAAGAAAAGTCAGTGAATTGGTGAAAGTGAACCTAAATCTGAGCAAATTTAACTTCTAAGTGCTTCATTATAAAAACTTGAGTTGACACTTCACTGTTAACCCTGACTCACTTTCATTGTTCATTTCACAGTAAAAGTAACGACCTTCTTGTCAATGGCATCGCTGTGGTCAAAAATCTCTCCAGTACTGCCTGCTAATGAAGACCAGTTTCCACTGAAATTCAGTGACAAAGTGGAGCTGAGTGTGGTGGAAATGCTGCAACGGTCCAGGAAGCAGTTGTACGGAGACATCACAAGTTCCAGCCGGTTGCTTAATGCTCAGATTATTTTGGACATTTCATGGGAGAAGCTCAACACCGGAACATGGCGGCACGTGGACAAGGAGTGGAGGCGCGTTTACTCATATGGCTGCCTCTTCAAAGTGGCGGCACTGTGTTGTGAAAGTCCTTCCGAAGACAAAATCCTGGAGGCTGTTCGGACTTGTGACATGGGTCTAATCATGGGCGCGGCCATCATGGGTGATATACTTCAAGTTATTGTTCGGATTCTGCAAAGTCACATAAGGACATTGAGCTCTACTAAAGAAGAGGATGAGAGTGAACATGCTGAGGTCAAGGTCAGCGATTTTTTTCTTTCATCTGAAATGCACAATTTTCTGTCAGTCCTTTAGTTTATTTAGTAATTACTAACTGATAGTTCTACTTGTGAGAAAACATTCTTGTACATTTCATTCAACCTGATTCAGAGTTCGAACTAATAGTGACTGATGGGGACATTTCAGAGTAAATCTTCTGGACGCTTGGAAAAGAAATTCCTCTGTGACCTTCATTTTGTTGCACTCCATCAGATGTCACTGAAGATTAAGTGCAGCAACTTTTCAAATGTCAGGTCACTTTGTTTAGACACCATCTAAATAGAGATGGAGAGTTTAGTGCAGGGCTGGCAGGATTTTTCGTGCTTTTTTCCCCTTTTAAAAGCTATCATCTTAAAAAAGCTGTTGAAATAGTCTACCCATCTGTCACGAGCTGCACAGTGGGGAATGGGGCTGCAACTAACAAGTATTTAGAAATGTTGTCTTTAATTTGTTCTTGGTTAATCAGGGCAAGGAAATGGTAGAAAGTAGCACCACATTTCCCAGAAGCTTAAAGTCATACTATGATTAAATTGCCTGCCACACTTACAGTACAAAAGAACACTGAAATCAGTATAAGCTGGAACCCAGAGAAGACTTAATTGATAGTTGTTTACTCACATATGTGAGATATAATCAAGGACTTGTTTTTCTTATCGTTTTCCTCTAAAGGTTGAATTGATTTTTTTTTTTTTTTCATTTTGAAATCATTTCCAGAGAATAAAGATTGAAAGCCCGCTTGTCTCTGCAATCAAAGAAGAGTCGGCGGTTCTCAGGATAAAGTGTCCTTCACTGGAAAGTTTCAAAACAAACTTCCTGCTCCCCCTCAAACCGGTGATTTTAGAAGGAATCATCGACCATTGGCCTGCTTTCAACAAACACCCCTGGAGGTTTGCTTGTACAGAATGTATTGTTGTTCAGTTCATGATTGCTATTTGTATTAATTAATTGGCTATTATCAATCATTGTGGTTTGCATATTTTTGTCCGGATGACACCAGCCAGCTGTTTCCCCCAATTATGAACCAATTTACTCTCATTAGTATGCTAATCTCAATCATGCACTGAAAAGGTTAAAGTCGATTTGAAAACCACTTTCAAAATTGTACATTCTGTCTGTGAAAATAAGCTTCACAGTATTAGCATGTTTGCGCTCCTCCACCTTGGTTAAATGCAGCACTTACATCCAGTCCAGCCTTGTAATCAGACTATTTTACAATTGCGGCAGCAGCAGAGTGCACTTATCAAGCTGAGAGGACAGAAAACCTGAAGGACTTTGGTACAGAGAGGCAGCTGACATGTAGTATGCAGTGTGTATCACTTTGATATCTATCTGTCATTTCCTTAACTATGTGAGCAAATAGGGACAACAGGTCTGTTTACTCATCTCTGCATATGTGATTCCTGACTCTCAAGTCTGACACCAGCGTCTGATATAACTTTCTTTCAATTTAATAATATCCTTCACTGTCCTCTCTCTCATTGCTCACTCCTGACAGCAGCCTATTCACTCTGGCATCTGACATACAGCTTCTGGCACCTCAGTCACATCCTGACGTGCTTATATATAAGATGTTTTGAAGCATCGCTTGAAACCAGGATCGCCACATTTATGTGTGACTCACTCAAGTAACTGTCTCCCTCCTGCAAAGCATAGAATACCTGAGGTCTGTGGCCGGCTGCCGGACTGTTCCTGTTGAGGTGGGATCCAGGTACACTGATGAGGATTGGTCACAAACGCTGCTCACGGTCAATGAATTCATTGATAGATATGTTTTGAATAAAGTAAGTGCATCTTGAGCAAGTCTTTAAATCACATTATTTATATCAGTGGTCCCCAACCTTTTTTGCGCCACGGACCGGTTTAATGTCAGACAATATTTTCATGGACTGGCTTGAAGGTGTCGCGGCTAAATGCAACAAAATAAAATGATAAAACCAAGACAAAAACTGTGGTATTTTGTAAATATAACACTAAACGCAAATTCACTGTGTAATTGTGTAACTTTATTAGCAGCGTCCTCCTGAAATGCGCCAACAACACTGAGAGTAACACGCTCCCCTCTGCCCCTTAATGCTCTCTGGTCGCTATGGTAACACGTAAATATTTCTTTCAAAATAAGACACACAACTACAACACAGGAAAAAGACCCAGGGAAACAGAATAAACAATAAGAACCCTGGAAACCATAAATTTCACACCCAAGACGCAACCCTCGCAGCCCGGTACCGGTCTGTGGCCCGGAGGTGGGGGACTGCCGATTTATGTGAATGAGAGAAAGAGAGGACCTTGGGATTTCTAACATGATATCTGGGCTTTTGTTGTTTGTTTTGTGTATCAACATTGAACAGGATGGAGTGAAAGCTTTGGGTTATTTGGCTCAGCACCAGCTTTTTGACCAGGTAGAGTTCAGATTTTTAGTTTTGAAACACCAAAATAAAAGTGAATAATTTTGTCAGTTTAACACTTACTTCTTTAAAAATGACATTTTCAGCACTATAAAGAACGGGATTCTTTTTCTAGCTGTCATACTAACACAAGATTGCTTTTAACATTAGTGGTATTTTTTAGCAGTAATTTCAACATCAGGGCTGGATAATTAAGATCAATTTTTTGGACTCTATGATTAGATTAGAAGGATCACAGCCACAGAGTCACCATTTAGACCGATTTTCACACAGCATCTATATTTTTTTACATTTCTTGGGGATTTTATAGTGCCAAGTTTCTAAATGAAACATTTATTTTTGATGTGCAAAAGCTTTGATTTCTTTATATATCACTTGGAAAATACAAAGTCTGTGCAGTGATTTGTTGAAACATCTGCAAACATACATGGGAATACAAGGTAAAAGGCAAAAACCGAGATTATACAATTCTGATGAGCTTGAAAGTGAATATGTGGCACAATGTGAACGGTCTTAGGCAAGCTTTCTTGTAATTCCTTTAAGTAGTCTTCATGAACAGTTCTCCAGGCTTCTTAAGGACATTCAAGGCTCTTCTTTGGATATCGGCTGCCTTTTGTTTAATTCCCTGTTAGGATGATCCTACAGTGTTTCAGTAATATTGAGGTCCAGGCTTTGGGGAGGCCAATCTGTGACTAATATTTATCAGGCTGATAAATATCTCTGGGCTGTAATGAGACTGAAAATTCCAATAAATAAACAGACTGTTTGCAGACATTCGGGTGACTCTCTGAGGCTGTACGGGAGCTCATCAGTAATAGTTAAGTAAAAACCAACCTTATGGCAGAATATCTGTGCCAGTTTTCATGGAAATCCATCGAGTATTTATGAATATTTTTCAGTTGGAAAACTATGGTGGATATACTGACAAAAAGAAGTCATGCATTTTTTTTAGTTTGCATGGCAGAAGGTGGAAAAATAATTAGCAATTCTTTTTACTTGCCAGGAAATGTTGGCAAAGTTCTCATGAGAAAAAAAGATACTATTTAGTAAGTAAAATTAGTCTTAAATGCCCTATTACTGTTTGATTATACCTTAGATACCAGAGCTCAAGGATGATATCCGCCTCCCTGATTATTGCTGTCTTGGTGAAGGCGACGAAGAGGATATTACTGTGAATGCGTGGTTTGGTCCCGGGGGTACAGTCTCTCCTCTTCACCAAGATCCTCAACAGAACTTTCTGGCGCAGGTGCTGTTAACTGTAATGCTTTATGAATTAAATTAATGTCAAAGGTTGATCATGTGATAACAGTTTCCTTACCACATGGGATTCCTTCTGTATATACAGGTAGTGGGAAGCAAATACATTCGCCTATATTCCCCCGAGGACACAGGCAAGCTGTACCCTCATCAATCACAGCTGCTTCACAATACCAGTCAGGTAGGATTGACAGTCCATGGAGATAGCACATGTTGGACGTGCAAATGTATGCAGTATTTCCAATTTCTGACTTCTTCCGTCTAGGTGCAGGTGGAAAATCCAGATGCCGAGCGCTTCCCGGAGTTTGCCAAAGCTCCGTATCTCGAATGCGTGTTACAGCCTGGAGACGTTCTTTTCATCCCTGTCCGACACTGGCACTACGTCCGCTCCTTAGAGCTCAGCTTCTCTGTCAGTTTCTGGTGGTCGTGATTGCAATTTCCAAATAAAAAACCATATAGCATGTATGTAATGAAACTAGTTCAGCCTGATTTCTCCTGCCGTTGAAGAAGGTCACTGGAGAGCTTTTAGCTAATGTGAGGCTAATAAAAGTATTAGGACGACCTCTGATTACAAAAACCTTTGATCCATGAACTATGCACACACATTGCTCAATGATTACTTTAATTGTGCTGCTGATGATTGCAACATCTATTATGTGGAAAGCGACCGGCAGCCACAGAAAACAACAAATGAGCAGTTAAAAGTGTTTCTGCTCATTTCATTCTGCATATAATTTACAGAGGGTTGTTAGTCATCTAATTTGATAGGGTATGTTTCTCTTTTCAAATTGGCTTATTTAATTGTGTTCTCAACCTTATTCCCACAAATATTCTCAGATGTGTGATTTCCATAATTCATGGAAATGAGGCAAGTCTTCAAATTTAATAACCAAGTGAGCTACAGGTACAGAAATGTGGTAATAAACACAGCTCTCTGGTTAAACTGACAGCCTGAGCTAATCAAGCAGGTCACAGATGAAAATTAATAAATTAAATGAATTAATCCCCTGGGCATACACAGACTTTGAAATTAAAACCATCTCATTGGTAAAGTACTTTGACAGCACAACTCTTGTTTGGCACCAGAAACGCAAAACCTGACAACAAAGGGAGCCGCGGATTTCAGACCTCTGACAAGCCACAGTCGTGTATCCTGTAGGTCTTGTTCAGTCAAGCCTGGTTATTACAACTATGATGTGAGGAAGTGACAAAATTAAGCAGATCTGCCCTAATGTGCGTGTTTGATCTGGATTGAGTCAGAAGTAGCGACGTTTTGGGAAATCAAGGCAGTGTCAGACAGGTGAACTTGAAGAGTTGTGGGGAATGCTTTGATAAAGCACTGTAGCTCAAGGAAAGGATATATAATAGACACTTTTTCCTTCAGTTTAAGAGGGTAAAAAATACAAAGGAATTGTAGTTCAAAACAACAAAGTGGCCTCAACAAGCTAAAATATTTTTCTGAAAACACAAGCTATATACTGTCTGACTCCGAAAGTGGTTTTGCCAAAAAAAAAAAAGCATAAACACTCATGTGAAACATTCCTTTGAACATGGTGGCTTGTGGGCATTCATTTATGCACAGCTCTCTTGAGGTCCCCCCACAGCATTTCGATCAGGTCGAAGCCTGAACTTTAACTGGGTCATTGCAACACCGTGATTCTTTTCTTTTGTTGTAGATTTTCTCCTGTGCGTAGGATCATTGTCCTGTTACATGACCCAGTTTTGGCCGAGCTTTAGCTGTCAGACAAATGGCTTCACATTTGCCTCTAGAATACTTCAGCCTACAGAGGAATTCGTGGATGAATCGATGACTGCAAAGTGCCCAGGTACTGTGGCTGCAAAACAAGCCCAAATCCTCACCCCTACACCACCACGTTTGACAGTTGGTCTGAGCTGTTTGTGCAGATGTGCTGTCTTTGGGTTTTCAAACCTTTCAAACAAGCCACATTTGTTCAGCCTTCTTCTAATTGTACTGTTGTGAACTTTAAAATTCAACATAACTGAGCCCTTTAGAGTCTGAGATGTAGCTCTGGGGTTTTTTTGCAGATTCCCTGAGCATTGCACAATCTGACCTTGGGGTAGATTTGCTGGGATGTCCACTCCTGGGAATATTGTAGCATTGTTAACACACACCAAACTTAAAATGTCTGTCTCTGGGTCAATTAAATTCTCCCAACCTACACTGCAGTATTGCAATGTTGGTAAAACCAAGCAAAAGTAGTTTTAATATTTAAAAATATGCAAGTTTAGCTATGAGGCCTCTTTCCCTTTTTTGTTTCTGTAGATAAGGTGGCATAATAAATAATGCCCCCTGCATTAAAGATGCCAGTGTTTGGCCTGATTTCTGCAAATTTCAGGTAATAGACCTATCCAAAGTTGGTTACTTTCCTCACAAGCTTATCTCTCCAAACTTAATAATATGAACCCTGCCAGGATTTAATTCTGTAAGTAAATGCCGTACACTTCACTTAGCCCTTCAGTGCTTTGTTGTTGTCAAGTAAGTGGCACAATTGACTTAAGATCACACAAAACTGCTTACTCTCATTATAATGTAATCAATACTCAATTACCAGTGAAATAATGTGGGACCTCTGGGCCTGTAACCCTTTCCCTTAAACTTAGACCTCGCTTTCGCCTTCTTTTTGATTAATGGCAATTGATTTTCAAATAAATCTGGCAAATCAGGATTAGATCCATTCGATTTACAGTAGGCAATAGACAAGTTTTAGTGAGAAAATGCTGAATCCCCAATAAATCTGAAACACAGATTTGGAAAAAGCTCAAGATTATTTCTGTACAAATATGTAATATAAGTAGCTCAATAATGCCACATTGTTTTAAGAGCCAGAATTTGTGAATTGGAATGAAGAATGAAAGAAAACAACCCAAAAATTAAAGTGCAGGCTCTCAACTTGTTTACAGGTCACATGTAATTTAATTAATACACATGAGCGCATTAATGTTTATCTACAGATCAAACCTTTTGTCAGCTGTTACCACTTGCCTTGACTTTAACATTTGCACCGCTGACTTAAATGATGATTTATAATAATCATGTAGACCACAACACAGTCTATACTTGAGCCCCCCCAGTGTTTTAAAATTTATTCAGCAAAATTGGTGAAAACATTACATTAATATGCAAGAATGTAAAAAAAAAAAAAATGAAGTGATTGTCAAGCATTAATTAGTGTCATCTATTCTTGTCATTATAAACAGCACTAAACATCCTGCAGTAACACTTTAGATTCATAAATTAACTTCAACAATGGCACCGTTATTATGAACATGAGCTTCCAAAGCAATGCAAAGCAGATGATAAGGTAAGTTATTAAAATTCCATATTAAGACCACGTGCAGTACAACAGAGTAATAGAAAAATAACTTTAAAGATGTCCGATGACCACTTTGTAGAGTGAGAGGAAAAAAGGATTGTGCAAAGTACAGTGTAGACTTGTAAGGCAGCTTGGTTTCAGCTATGGCATCAATTCAAACTCTCGTTAGTGTCGATGCTATGTGAATCTGCATGACCCTCGGTGCTTCATTATAGAAAGAGATTTTTAAAAAGCGCTTCATGAAATGAGATTTTTTTAAATTACAGGATTTCTGATGGCCTCATTTTATCCTGAAAATGAGTTTCAGAAAGCCATTAATGCTGAGATGAATCCTAAAATTCCTGTATATCTACAGAGAAGTTCTGCATCCTCTCCACCACGAAGAAGCAGAGTGTTCCAGTGAAGCCCAGGATGACCATCAGCAGGAGCTGCCACATCAGCATGATGTAACCGCTGTAGAAGAACGCAGCTGCTGCACAGACAGACTAACAAGGGACAGACAGATTTAATGTTGTTGATTAATATGATAAAGTGCTTTTACAAATCTAATAAACTAAGTTGCACAAATTATTACACAAAAATATTAAGTTTTCCAGCTTCACCAATCACCCCCTCAAAGTCATATCCTTGAGTAGCACAGCACAACTTCCATAATGTCTGCTATTTTCAGAGCATTGCCATTCTAAACAATCCAAACAATGACCCTTCAACTTAAGCTTTATTTAGGAGGAGTGGAAAAAGCCACAGTGAGCAAAATGTGGCCAGTGGTGAGTGACGATAATGGTGAAGTGGCCAAAAGGGTTCCTGTATTTTCAATTTGCTGTCTGCCAGTGCATGATATTACAGGCAAACCACACCATTCAGTTCATTTTCACATGATGCTCTCCCTCATACACCACAGGATATTATACTGTCGTAGAAATCCTCATAAACAGTCTGAACCTAAATCAACCATAAACATGCTCCTGAGCTGACCCAATGCTCCGTCTTGAAGTTTGGATTCTGCATGCGTTCCACTGTCAGTTTGGGTTGGGGTTTATATCCTGATCCCCATAAAAGTCTGAATGTTTCTCAAGTGGAAATGCACATGTGGGAGAGGTGTGGCCTACAGAGAGCATGAAAAACAGCACCAGCACTGGTAGCAGTGCAGCGCTGAAGATGGCGTTGAAGAAGAGATGAGATGTGTTTAAATCACACGTGGTTTTCATTTTTCTGGGCAGAATCAGAGAGCTTTATAAGATACTAAACATACTATTACTTTCAAACTCATGAACCCCACTTTCAGATTTACTACTAACAATTTCCCAGTAACAGCAGAATCTGAGCTGGACTTCAACTAGGTGGCACAACCATGTCAAGATTTCTCAGTTTGTTTCTGTTCATTGCATTGTGGTGTATTTTCCATGCCTTGACAAAATCAAAAAGATTTTTTTTGAATAGTTATAAAGCATACATTAATTTCTAGAGCTTAATTTTCAATTCAAAATAAAAAAAAAAAAGGAAGAAGGTATGATATCCAGCATATCTGCCTTTTTTCTTTGTACTGTGACTTCAGGTGAATTTATTTCACTTGGAAGGAACACATTTTGCAGCAGCTTTGGTCTGCTCTGCTAACAACGTCTGAGAACTGGCAACTCAGGATTACCTGGATGAATTTAAAAATGGCGAAAGCCGGCGTGCTTTCTTCAGCATAAACATGGCCTAATATGCTGTAGAGCTGTGTGTTGAAACAGCTGTCCCCAAGTCCAAGCAAAAAGCTGCACAGCAGGGCAATGGATACACTAAGAAAGAAAAAGAAGAAAGAAAATCAAAGCATAATCTCAAACAGTATTTTCTTATATGCTAAATTATCATAAAAACTGGATACCTTGGGGTTAGATATGGCTTCTTTAGGGATGTGGTTTCAAAAACAATGGGGGCATCATCAGGGATGTTAAGAAAGATCAAATAGAAAGCAACAAAATGGGCAACCATTCCCAGAAACACCACAGAAGTTCGTCTGAAGCGGCTGTTCTTGCACAACAATCCAAACAAACCCCCACCTGATGGAAAAGGGCATATTCTGCATAAATCAATCAATCTGCACGGCCTTGAATGACTTTAAATAACTTTGCTAAGAGCAGAAAGTGAACGTACCTAC